TAGCACACATATAGAGAATACCACACCGGGGGGACATTAAGTCCGTGGGTCGCAAACATGAGTCGCTGAGCATCTTGTATAAAGTATAGATTTGTATAGATTTGAAGCACCAGTTTTATTGTATATGTAAAATTGTTTTATTGTTTTACTATTTTAAATATTGTTGTTAGCCGCCCTGAGCCACTGGGTAGGGCGGGACAGAAATTGCAAATTAAATAAATAAATAAATAAACACATACAGAAAAGACCAAAGGAAGATCCCATACACACACATAGAAAATGATCAAGGAAAGCTTCACACACAAACAAGGCTACCCAGAGGGAAAGGGGGAGATAAAACACACTCACTCACAGAAGACTATCAGAATGGGGAATAAATGATAACACACATGCAAGAAAGCTGAGGGATAAACTTACACATACAGAACGCACACAGAAGACTACTGGAGTGGAGGGATAAAATGCATGCACAGGGAAAAACCAGGGGAAAGGAAGGATAAAACACACAAAACCCAGCTGCCTGCCATGTGCTTTAGAAAAGTAGGTGGGAACACTGTTAAAGCAGAACAAGCTTGGGTAAGTGCCTGCTCATTGAGAAACTCTGAATTATGCAAAAGCACCATTATTATAACTATGACAATAGGGCTTAATTCTGAATAGCAAGTTAAGACTACACATTTATAGTGATGCAGAACAAGTATGACCAAGGATTTTGGTTTTTTTTAAGACAGAAGACCTAGGAAAGTGGGCTTCTAACTGATGCGCCTAACTGAAGCATCTTTTTTTTAAACCTCCACTGGGGACAGAGCTGTCATTTACCAAAGGGAGCTTTCCCTTCTGGAAAGAAAATACCTTATTCCCTTGAGATTACTGCACTGACTGACCAAAACTGATTGTGACTCAGAGTTTTCACAGCAGTGTGTAGGAGGCACATGCACAAATCCAATTATTTGTTAATAGCATTTCTGGGTTACACCCACACAATACTTTGAAATTTTTACCACTAACACTTCAACAGTTTTGAGTCACCTCATGGGCATGGAGGATTTTCTCTGTGGCAACAGCAGCTCTCAGATTTTAAAAAGCGATTTCTCAAAATGCTCTATCAAATGTAACAGCCTTCAGAACTTTAAGTACATGTGGTTTACAATACAATTAATATCCCTAAATTTATATCTGCAGATTGTTTAAAACAATTTCACTTGAGCCTACTGGAAGACACAGTACACCTCCAAATGTGCTCAGGTTGTGTTAGTTAGAATTCTTAACAGTATTTTGAATAAATAAAATAACAACTTACCTCATTACAAATAAGCACACATACGCTAGTAAAAATCTAAGTGATAATGTTAAAGCAAAAGCAGAGAAGTGTCTATACAGCAAGAAGAAGCTGTATTTTTAAATATCACTTGGCCTGGAAGCAGGTGAACATCACTAAAGTTATTGGGGCCAAATCTATCTCTGTCTGTCTATCTATCTATATCACAATTAACCAATCACAATTAATCAATTCATTGTACCTGGGTGGCCTAACTCTCAACTGAGAACCTATCTAGACAAGGGGTCTCTAACAGGTAGCATGTAAGCTAGCAGTAGCTAGCTGAAGGATAGCTGTGCATCCCTTAAAAGAGCCAGGAAAAGATCACAAAAAGAGCTGCTGAAAGTGTTTTTAAAGAATATTTCATTGCTGATGCTCTTCCTGGTCTATGCTCTGGTTCTTTCAGAACAAAACTTGGTAACACGCTGGGGAAGGTAGCTCAGGATATTTTTCATTACTCAGAAGTAGGTCTCATTAGAAAAAAAAACTGATCTAGACACTACTGACATTAAGATTCAAAATTTATTTAGTAATTCCATTAGCTAAGGACTACAGCATTTAACAGAACTACTTGGCATGTAAGTGAAACTCAGCTTGATAAGAACAATAAAAATGTCATAAATCATCCCAGTCAGAAAGTACGGATCCTCTGCAACACAAGCAGAGCTGCACTGCATAAATGGCAAGTTTCCCGCTTCCCTTCTCCTGCGGCATCTTCCCTAACTGTATCCTTGTGAATCAGTGCTCCCCAAGAACATGATGAGGGTCAAAGGGAGGCCCTATGGTATGTTTGGGGAGAAATTGGCAAAAATTGCCCTCCCCAAGCAGAAGTGCTTGCCACAAGTGGAAAGGCAGTTTAGGATCCCACTATGGTCCCACTTCAGTTGTGCTAGTCTGGGTGACTTCAAGTGCCATCCTAAGAGGAGTTGCTCCCTTCTAAATCAACTGAAGTCAATGGGCTGATGGCACTGACAGCAACTAACCAGTTGCGCATTTTGCATCCACTATCACAAAAGAGGCCTTGGCACCCAGGTAATATATTATCTTAGAATATAGACACACAGAGAAATCTTTTTCAAAATGGCTCTAGAATCACCATTGGCAGAGACCAAATATCTATATCTCTAATCTTAGAAAAATCTTTCTCAGACCAAACTAGGAATTCTCAGAAATGAACACACCAAATTTCACTGTAATAGCAGAGAGAGAAGAATGGCCAGGAGACAAAAAAGAAAGTGGACCCTCACACACACCAGGATCTGTGACTATCTTTGTCTCAGCTGTTTCCAAAATAGTTGCAATTGTGGCATAGTGAGGCTGCCCTCCCTACTTTGAAAGGGTGCACAAAGGAATGACTTGGACTTTAAACTGAAGTGCACAATTGTACCTTGAGCAAGGCTACCTACATCAAGAGGGAGAATGTTACAAATATATTCTGCTCTTGCCATGTAGTCTTTGAAAAAGGGTCTTGAAGTTGGGCAGACATTCAAACTTGAAATGCAGAACTCATTTTGAAGTCTCAGCATTCAAGGAAGTTAACATGTTACAAACAGAGAACGATGAACAGGCAAGTTAATCCCAAAGCCAATAAAATCACTTTCAGAAGAAATACATCTTTAAATTTGAATCAGGAAGGAAGGGAGGGAGGGAGGGCATGATGGCAAAGCAGCATGACCGAAGAAGAGTTGGTTTTATACCCCACCCTTTACTACCTGAAGGAGTCTTGGAGCAGTTTACAATCACCTTCCCCTACTCTCCCCACAACAGACACCCTATGAGGTAGGTGGGGCTGAGAGAGTTCTGAGAGAACTGCTCTTGAGAGAACAGCTCTAAGAGAACTGTGACTGACTCAAGGTCACTCAGCTAGCTGCATGTAGAGGAGTGAGGAATCAAACCAGGTTCTCCAGATTAGAGTCCTGCTGCTCTTAACCACTACACCACAACAGGCAAAGCAGCATGACACTTGCAGTAAAACTAAAAAAAGCTTTTGTTATCGACTGCTAACATTCACTTACTACACAGGCGAAGGAGACAAAAAACATTGACTCTTTATTACATTTTCCCTGTGGGAAAAGATAAAATGGATCTGAAAGCTGCCAGTAACCTGTTGCAGTGTAGCACAGTTGGCTGAGCTCTGAATCATGCATACCCTGTGGCAATCCTACGCTGGATCCGCTCATTGGCCAATTTGGTTGCTGAGTTGGTTCTCAGACCACTTTTATTTATTTACTTACCTTATTTATACTCTGCCATTCTCATTTAGACTCAAGGTGGATTACAGAATATAAAACAGTGCAGTGAGGAAACATAAAACAACTAATGAACAATGCAATAAGTCTAAGTTTACAGAATTAGGAAGCAACACAAACAACAAACTATCTAAGGCAAAGGTATACTGTAAACCAGAAATGCCTTTAACACAGTGCCTGTGGGTGCCATGGTGTCTTCACGGAGTGGGGCTTTTGCCCAGTAGGGTTTCTGAATAGCCACTGGAGATCAGATGGGCTGTTCAGTAAAACTGAATTTGTTTTGGTGGCAGCTGCAGCCACAGTACAAGGATCATCACAGCGTGACAAAATAAGCTGCTGCTGGCCTTGACTATTCCTATTCATTCAGCTGGTGGGAGCCCTCCATACACAAGCCAGCAGAGTTGCTCTGGGTCTGAGCGCTGCTAAAGCATGGGGCCCCAGCAAGCTAGCTGGCCTGAATGGGGAAGGCAGAGAAAAGCCCTTCCCTTCTTGCTCAAGCTTGCTGGCTTCCTCTCCTCCTATATTCTGCTACAGCACACTGGAATTAGAATAAGCAAACTGGCACATGCACTGAAAGAAAAGGTCTCCCTTCCTGCCTAAGCCTCAGAGGACCACTGCTGCAGAGAACAATGCAAACTGGCTAACCTGAAGGGGAGGGAAGGGAAAATCCCCACCTATGCATGCTAGTTTCCTCTCCTCCTGAAGGCTGCCCATGACAAGAACAAGACAGCTGGCACTTGCAGGGAGGGAAAAGCCTTTGCCTGCTGCCTTCCCCTTGTCCCCAGCACTGCTGCTGCAGCCTGGAACCAAAACTGACTGGCATGAAAGGGGATGGGATGGGAAAAGAAAAGGAAGCATGGGGCGGGGGGGGGGCAAGAAGAGGAGAGGAGTGTGGATCTGAATGAGGGCTGAACAGTTCAGAGGAAACGCTTATCTCTTCTCCTTGTCCCCCCCCCCCTTCCGGCCTCCCACTGTTGTGTTACTTTTATTTATCTTTGTCCCCATTCCCTGTGTATTTTTTAAAAAATCCCTGTCTTCTCTCCCGCACGTCAAGTTTGCTCTGTATGTGTGGGCAGTTTCCCTCTTGTATGTTTCAAAAATATGCTATTTTAAAATGTTACAAGAAGGGTAATGCCAAAACACACAAGGTACCATCTCAGCAAAAGAATGGGATATAGTCGTGATTATGGATGTGTGTTCCATTGATTTCAATAGGATTCAGTGATAGCTAACTGTTCTGGGAATACGTTCCTGTGGCAGCCATTTTGTGGTTCGTTCACACTTCTGCAGCAGTCATTTTGTTGTCAGAATTCCAAAGGCGCCCACAGGCTCAAAACAGTTTGGGGGCCCTGCTATGAACAATACAGAAAGTGGATTACCATTTCTGAGGGGACCTCATACGCTTTACAGACAGATTAAGTCAATTACTTTACCTGCCCAGTGTATGCAAATTCCAGAGCTTGCTTCAAACCTATGCTTGTGATGCCGTGTAAATTCACCTCATCTGCTCCACTTTCAACCATACAAAGACTGAACATTGCCTAGGAGAAGAAATAAAAAATAATATATGTTTTAAAGACTCTATAATGCTTAAGAGATTCTACGAAAAACCATACATTGTATTTTAAATTATTGGTATTTTATGCTTATGATTATATATTATGATAGGTTTTAATTGTATTTTTTGGAAAATCTGTAAGCCGCCCTGAGCCCACCTTTGGCGGGGACGGCGGGGTATAAATAAAATAAATAATATTTTCAAATCCTAAACTAAGACCGTTTCTTAATATTGTGGGTAGTAATCAGAAGAATACATACACCAAAGGTCAGCATTATTATTTTTATATTATCTCTTGAATGATAAACTGAGTGCAGCAGCATTTCTTAACAGCACTTCCTTTACTCTCCTCAATAATAATCTTACTAGGTGGCTTTAGGAAAGTCACCCTTAATCTCTTACCAGTAATACATGGAAAATAAAACTGGTCTACTTCACAGGGCTGTCACAAAGACTGCTGAGACTGTATTTGAAAGGCTTTTGTTACCCAAAGCTTTCCCACCATTATTCTGATGATCCAACCAAATATAAGCTTTAAATAGGGCCATTGTGCTCAAGCAGATTCGAGTGGCTGCACACAGAGACACTCCCCCACACACACACACACGTGGCACAGCTGGTTCATAAATCAGCACTTCTCTGCAAACTCTTCTGGGGCACCCGTACCTGTCAAGAGTTTCATGCATTCCTAGAGTGTAAGCCTTTATAAAATCTTAGAATCCAATTTACAGGTTTAGGGTTACAGTCATAAGTCACTACCCATCTTGCCTCTTTTAAAATATACAGAGAGCCATGACCATTTCACAGACCAGTTCTCAATGAATGAATCAATCAATCTAATTTATTGTGGCAGGAGCCAGTAAAACAGTACAATTCTGATATAAAAGGGATTAAAACAGTAATAACATGGGAATAATATA